TGTTTCTATCGCTCAAAAACTACTGTACTTTGAAGAAGTCAGCAAAAAGAAAACAAATAAACTTTTAGTAACAAAGCCAATTTATATATTTGTTACTTTAGTCTAGCAAAGAAATTGGTGCCGGGAAAAAATCAGTACCTAATTCACGAGACAACATTTCCATTTCCTACCGAAAGGTTTTTGGAAAAAAAATGCATAAAAAATTTTCGCTTGCTAGTGCGCTGTAAAAAGCTTTTTAGGGTCAATACAATGCAACAAATTTTCACTTCTCTCTAAATATTAGAAAAGTAATTTGAGCTATAACTAAAATATAAAAGAAAATGGTGCACGAACGAAAGTGCGACTGATAAAAAAAAGGAAGATATTCAGTTGCTTCTCTTTGAATTTTCTAAAAAACTGTGGGCGAAAAAAAAAGTAAGTGTGAAGTTTTTATTGTCTGTAGGCGATAATAACAAGAATGATTCCTTCAAAGAAATGTACCTAAATGATCTGAAACATTTTCGCCATCTTCCGACAACTTTTTACTTTTCTTACAACGCTGTTTTTTTCGCTTGTACCGCTCCTCAGACGCCTCAATTTTCATACTTGGAAGTTGCGAATTTGTAGAGCTTACTGGACCATAATGATCTGAAGAAGTATTGCACTTATAAGACAGTAAATCACAAGCTGTATTTTCAATTATTGAGAAACTACTATCAGCATTTTATGCTACACTAAGTTAGCAAAGTTTCGCTTAAAAATTTATTCTGTTTTTTTATGAAAATAAAAACCTTTGCGACGAGATACATTTTACAGGTTTTTAGCCGCTCACGTTATTAATTTTTGAATAGTTTATTAAAGTCTTTTGAAATTCAGTTGAAGAGACCTAAAGATTTTAGACGTATACAAAAAATTTTTTATTTATGCTCAGTCTAAATTAGCCGAAGATGTTAATGATATTAATGAAAGAAATGATGTTGACATTATAACCTTGACAGTATAAAGTTCCATTATCTGCCATTGCAAACATTTGTCCTGGCCGAAGTTGAACATCACAAACGATGCAGGTGAAGCATCGCAGGTGGAATATAGCGTCTCGAGCTCTCATTACCAGGTCATCGCAGCAAAGTACTACACTACACCTCTCACACCGTTTCATATAAGTGCTTAAAATATATAGCTTATTTAATCAACTCATACATGTTCTAAGTGAAAATATTTTCAAAGGAAAAAAATTAGATAAACAAACTAGAGAAAACTAGTTTTCTTTCTGAAGACAGAAAAGTTTTATGTTTATCAATTTGATAAGACATTTTTTTTTTTTGCACTGATTAGGTACTTCTCTTCTTCTTTTTTGCAGTCATTTTACATAACGTTTCAATCAATCACTTTCTTGGCACAGTATAACAAACATACTGCTACGATAATCTACAGTAGCTTAAGACTAAGACGTTTGTTTTACAGGTTATTTTAACTGAAAATAACATTTATGAAAAATACTGTGTAAAATTTACTGACAAATAACGCACGTGGTATAATCTTGACGACAGAAAACCAGCCCATCTTTTAAGAAACAGGACGGTGATGTGCTGAGAGGCCGTTGACAAAGACAGCACCGAAGACAGCCTGTATGCCAACTTCGATCGGCTATCATCAAAAAATACTGATCTAATATTGGTTGCAAGCAGGATGCGCATTTATCTGAATTTAAACATGTTCTCCTTTGACCTCTTTCTTCACTTCAATCAAAACAAACTTTGGCTTTCTTCTAATGTAATTTTCTATATCAGAATCATTTTTTAAAAGAGAAGCAATTATTAATTGTTGTTTAGAGGAGAGAAATATTTCTTATATATATATATATTTTTTTTTTATAAAAAATTAGATTAACAAACGTCAGTGAATTTAATGTTTCATTTCATACTGTTATAAAAAATTTTACTTCAAAATTATTGTTTAGAAAACAGTTAAAATGTTTTTTTATCTACATTACTGTACATATTCTTAACAAATTAAAACTTCTTCAAACTATTCTAAAAAAAGAAAACAGAAAGTTGCAGGTAACTGGAGATACTGTACTATAAAATTTTTTAGTTAAAATTTAATAGCTTAATTATAAATGTTATAAAATTATAAATATTCAACTTGTTGGTTGTGTAGTCCAATAAAAAATAATTTCTTAACAGTTGCTTTTCAATCTCACATTAAAAAATATGCGAATTAAAGAATGATTACTTGTCGAATTGAGTATCTCGACAGATTTGTTCAACTGTGAGGAAACCGCATTAAGATTGTCGTCAAGCGTTTTCAGATACAGCATCAATTGTGAATAAAATCTCACAACACAAGTGCACGGCACAGATATGCAAGTTAGTTTTTTTTGGCTCTTATTGATAACCGGTTGAATTCACAACGCAATACTGTAAAAGTGTATTTGATAACTCACAATGGAACGATTCATAATCGTAAATTTAGCGAAATAAAAACCTTTACTTCAAAAAATTATTAAATAAAATAAAAAAAAAGAAGAGTTTTTTAGATAAATTTTTTTAGATTATTGTCATACATTGGAAATGTAGCGAACAAGAACTACAGAAAAAGAAGAGTTGAATACTAAATCAGTTAGATTATAGGGTGACTATAGAGAGAAAGAGGAAAAATAGCAAAAAATAGAAAAATAAAAAATAAAAGAAGTGCAAATAAATCTGAATAAAAGCCGGTAATATGTTTTCCTTTGGTGAAGGGAAAGAGAGGTAACTGAAAATCGTTAAAATCCTGATAATCGCCTGGTGCTTATTGTTCGATTCGTTAATATTACGGAATTTAAAGGTTTCAATCATACAAATCTTCAGAGGTGTACAGACGCGGACACACAGACACAGACAGACAGAAAGGCGAAAAGACTTACAGTCTTATTATTGTTGCCGCTCAGATTTTGCATTTGGTCAGCTTTGTTTTATTTTGTTTACTTTTTTTAAGCTTGATATCTAGCAAATCTATTCGACTGACAATTTTTGAAAAGAAATAATTAACAGTCATGAATTGCTTGAGAAGCCTCTGATAGCATTGTCAAATAAAGCATAAAGACTGCGAACAAAGTTTTTTACTACAAATACATATCACAAATTTGCAAATAAGTTTTAATTCCTTATCCTTAACCGATTAATTCCAGTGCAGTTATGCACAGCACAATACTGTAAAAGTGTATTTGGTAATTTACAAAAAAAAAAATTATTCAAAAATTATGAATTTAGCATAGCGAAAGCTCTGACAAATCAAATGAACAAGACGAAAGCGTGGTAAAACGGTATTGTCTTTGGTTAAACAGCAAAAAACCTGAGTTTTTTCGACAGAAGAAGCAAAAAAGATTAAAAAAGAAAAAACTATTATAATCGAATAATTTTATATCATTTCAATAGCTTTGAACAAACTTTTTTTTTGTGATTTACCTATTTATGCGGCAGTCTTTTTGCTTTTACTGATCTGATGCATTCTTCAAGGAAGCTCTGCTTTAGCGCGAGAAGAAGTTTCGTTTGTCACTACAAAGATAGGCAGTAAGTAAAGTTGATCAATGTTTCTTACGATTTTTTGACGGATAATTTTAGTTGCTTTGATCAATGACGATACTTTTGAATCTGATCAAAATTTGATTTGACAAACTGTGTAGCGAAAACGAGCAAACGCTCAAAGACTGTACGTTTAGACGGAATACGAATGCGATCACCTTTCCGGAAACACAGCTAAAGCAGCGGTGAAGTGAAGGAAAAGTTTCAGAATGAAAAAATCGTTCCGGATTACTACTGTTTAAACTTATACACAACCAAATATTATTTTGTCAGATGTCGCTTTATAATAAGTCTGTTAAAATCGCAAATTTTTAGGGCGGATTTTCAGCAAAGTAACAGTCAACAAGTTTTTTTATCACTTTTTTCAAAAATATAGAAAAAACCTTTTTAGCGTTTTTAGGAGAAGTAGCATAAGAAATATGTTAACACAGAATTAAATAGAATTTTTTAAAAGAAGTAAGAAAAAAGTTTTTTTTACTGTCTATCTTTCTCGCTTTTTTTCTCCTTATTTTAGTTTTTAAGCGGTCAAAAAAGACAAGTTTATGGAAAATTGCAGGAGATGGGTTAGCAGTAAAGCTTCAGCACTAAGTGCAATTTGTTGTGATCGTAATCTAATGCAAAAGACAAAAAATTAAATAAATTTTTTCACAAAAGAAGTTAAGATTTTGGTATGAAAAGATGCCATAAAGTTGAATTAATAAAAACTGAAAATAGTGAAAAGTGGTGGAGAAAAGAAACAAATTTTTAGATAAAAAAGGCAATTCTTGTGATCAATTTTTTTAACTGAAAGTTTAGAATTGTTAGTTGAGTTTTAGTTTTGTTGTTTTAGGCTAGTTAACAAAAATATAAATAACTAGATAACTTTTATAGTTTAACTTGTTGAATAACGAATTAGGATATATTAAGAGGTAAAAAGATATTTGGATAGTTTTAAGGAAATGCCCTTTTCAAAAGTTGCTGCATTCAGCAACAATTTTTGTTTGGAACATCAGATTTTAAACGTGTTATGTGAAGCCAACCATGACAGATTTACTTCATCATATGTATTTAAATGCATAGTATAATAGATAATACCCTGTAACCCACGTACAGATAAAGCTATAGATTTTCATCAGACATCCCATTACACAAACGACAGCATTTTATCTGAAGTGTTCAAGAAAAAAATGTGTATACCTCTACATTTTTACCTATACTTCTTCCATGTAACAGCATTTTTATAATAAGTATATGTATAAACGTATCTCAACCAGTTTTTGAGTTTTTTTTTTTTTATTTTTGTAAGTGAAATAGCTGCAGTTTTTTAACAATTTTTTACCAAATTTACGTAGAAACAAGTAATCAGAGTGGAGTTTTTTTTTTGGTTTTATTTCTCTCAATATTGTTTTTGTTTTGTTAAACTATACGAAAGAAGAGTTAGCACCAGATAAAAACAAATATTTTATTTAAAAAATTGGAAGAAAATAAAAAACAAATAAAAGACGAAAGATTTGAAAAGTTCGGTGAAAAGTCATAAATTCTAGCATGTGGCAGAAAAAAATTCAGTGAAAAAATTAGTGGTCTATAAAAAGAGGCAAAAACTTGTAAACTTTTTGGCATTAAGAAACTGTGAAATGATCGCCCTTGTTGTCGGTTTCTAAGGCAAAAGCACCGCTGTAAAACGATGTCCGCTGTACTTTTTATAATATCAATAGTTCATTGTCAGTGACAAGTGGTCATAATACAGCGGTGGTTAAGTAACCAATAAATTTCATCTTGAATGACCCTTAATGAAAAATTCAATGGTCATTATCGAATAAAAAGCATTAATTTTTTTTTTGGTCAAAAGCAGGTAAACTTCAAACGAATTACTCAGTAAACAGCAATTGGACTATATTTATCATAAAAGTTTTAAAAAATTTTTTAACTGGTGAAAAAAGGTATCATTTTTCAAAAAATAATTATCACTAGTGAACAATATAATTGCTCACCATGACTTCGACGTAAAAATTTGCGTTGAAACAGTTTGAAAGAAAAATTCTCTAAAAATGCTCCAATAAAATCAAGCCTACTTATTGTAGAAGCGAGAGACAGTATTTCCATTAAATAGTCTGTTTACAACTACTGAATTAATCTGGTAAGAATTACTGGATAGTAGCTGAACTGAACGACAGAAGCACTTGTTGCCTTCATACGGTAGCAGTTGTTAATCTTTCTTCCTTATTTTTTTTTAACTTTTATTTATATTACTTTAGCAAGTAATTCTAAGTGAACTAAATACAAAAGCAAAGGAGAAGAGAACAATTGAAGTAAACTGAAAAATGAAGAGGAATATTCTGTCTAAGGAAACGGTAAAAATAGGAACGCCAATTCGACGGGATACCGTAGGATGATGGCAGTGACGAGTGAGCGCCTCACCTAAACTAACGACCAACTGATTGCTGCGGTTGCTGTTGTTGCTGTTGCCGTTGCGGCCACTGCAGACGCTTAGGCGGTCGCGGCTGCGG